GAAGTAGACTGCACATAAAACACACACTTGAGGTGTCATTGTCTCCTATTACCCCGAGATGGGACCATCTGGTTGCAGAAAATCAAGCTCGGGGCTGTGGTGAGTCGTCATTTTCATGCACTTTGAATTTGCGTTGTATCGTATTTTGAAGGCATTAAACATTACCATAGCGATCAGAGAGAGTGTTGCGGCCAGATTAGACGCTCCTTGTGTTTATTATGATATTTCGAAAACACCACAGTTTCCATGCAGCTCATACCATATTATTTTGTTGTATTATTTCCGCCACACCTTAAATGCCGGTCCCTGAAAATATTGTCTGACATAAACCGGTCCGTGGGGCAAAAAAGGTTGGGGACCCCTGCTCTAAAAGACATAGAATTGTCCTTCAGATATAGATAGGAAACGAATAGTGCCTGACTATGGAATTCTATCTGTGCCATCTTAGTTTCATTTTGAATTTCAGACATTTATTCGAAACTAAGGCTGAAACTTGAGGAATTTGTGACAAAACAAGTGGAAGAAAAACTACCACTTATTTCTGCCTCAAAGCTTTGCAGTGATCATTTTTCCACACTAACTAATGTTTGGACTCATGCTCCACTCCATATAAAAATAAATTGTAGCAATGGCTACAAGCCAAGAGAAGAGTTCGCAAAAGACAGAGACTGTCCAAGTTGTCATGCTTAAACAATACATTCTAATTGGAGTATGGCGACTGCAAAGCAGAACTAATATAACAGTTGCCATCTTTACCCTGCGGCATACATGGGGATTGAACCCGAGCTTCCATCGCGTCACCAGCTTGGAAACGCAGAGCGCTCACTGCTGAGCTGAGGTAAAACCTTGGGCTGCCAATGCCCTCTTTTCAGGTTTCGAGGAGAGAGGCTCAAGCTGGCATCCGTTACGCTAACGCAACCTAACAGCATGTCTACTACCTCCATCACAAGGTATCGAGGTTGGCTAATTTTACATAGCCTACCAACATTATTTTCATGCCCCCCAACCCCCACAAGTGGTAAAGGATAGACACAGCCGCCGGTGCGCTTGTAATCGCTTAATTGAGCAAATAGTTTCAAAATAAACACGTAACCGGCACGTCCGTGTTTGCTGTCGCCACAAGTGAAGCCAAAGCAGTCAACATGCAGACTGGCGAATGGTGAGCCAGTTAACAGCCAGCCGCAAATTTGACCTCACAATAGCCAGCGCTACACTCTCATTTGTTGACTCCCACGGCATTCACTAGGCCAGGCCTCGCTTTTTTAAGCCACACACACACCCAAAGTCACAGACAGGAGAGTGTAAGGATGGTGACCCCCAGTTGACAAAAATAATACTTGCATCTCACATGTGCATTTTGTATTTAACCCTTTCAGGCACCCTGTAACCTCATAACACGATAAGCTGTCCACTGTAGTAACCGCTGTCCCTGAAAGGGTTAATAAAGCTATTTATGTCTGATTAATTGACAGGATAATTGTTTGAATAATCACTTCTAAAAATATTTCATAGTTGCAGCCCTATCTCAAATGAAGATGGTACCTCTGCCCAGCGCTGTTTTGTTCTAGTTATAACGAACAGTTTTAAAAAAGAAATTGTGAGACTGTTGTGCGCGTTGATCACTGCAAAGTTTTCTCTGTTCTTTTGCACAGGTTCTTGTATTCGGATGATGTTCACATCGGTCCAGGAACTGTGATGTCCACTCTGAACATAGCCAAGAAATACGCTGTCCCCGCTCTGGCCACTCACTGTGTGGAGTTTGTCAGCAAGCACCTGAAAGCAGACAACGCATTCATGTTCCTCACGCAGGTTTATGCTTTCACTTTCTGAATGTACTTGTCACATGACCAAGCTTAAAGTCCATTTTCTTGACAAATGTTATGCAGACATTCGTGGCTGCAGTTAGTAGTGTAAGGTATTGTCATATTCTAGAGTTTTGGAGGCATTTTCCCTGAAAATTTGAGACAGATTGCTAATTTTATGAATTTTGAGGGAGACTGAAAATTGATCACACCTGACTGGGCTACAGGTGGGAAAGACCTTGGACTGGTTGCCAGTCAATCACAGGGCTCATAGAGACCAACAGCCATTCACACTCACACCGTCACTCAGGGAGAACTGAACTTCGTCACACTGACTTTATTGCAACTATTTCTTGTCAATACTAAGACAGCCTGACATAAAACATGTCATCTGTCATATGTTGTTTCATGAACAAGTCCACTGCATCTGCTATTGCAGAATATAACTTTCCAGTTTGAATATGCATTTATTTATGGGTGCACCTCAGATGTGTTGGAAATCCCTGAAAATATTTCTTGAATGCTTGAATAGAAACTTTGAAAGCGTATGAAACCTGAATACAATTTAAACATGAATGGTAAATTATCAAAAGCAGGTTCAAGATGGGTTTTTTTTCCTGTTTACAGGTTTGATGTATCGAAAAATAAATGTATGATACTCTTGTGTTTCCAGGCAAGGTTATTTGATGACCCTCAGATTTCCAGCCTCTGTTTAGACACCATAGACAAAAGCACTGCAGAGGCAGTAAATACAGAGGGGTTTACTGGTATTGACCTTGGTAAGCGAGCCTTCTACCAAAGTAAGGTTTCCAACAAGTGTTGCTTGTTCTGGAAGACTTAATTTTGATTTTGTGTGCTGTAGACACTCTCTGCACAGTTCTCGAAAGAGACACGTTGAACATCAGGGAGAATCGTCTCTTTGAGGCTGTGGTACACTGGGCCGAAGCCGAGTGCAGCAGACAACAGCTTCCAGCCACCTCGGAGAACAAACAGAAGGTACTTGGAAAAGCCCTACCGCTCATCCGCTTCCCGCTCATGAGTGTGGAGAAGTTTCCTACAGGTAAGCTAAGTACATACTCACTGGCCACTGTTTTGAGCACACATGTACCATGTAATGTGATACAATACAATAAATATGTTTTTTTTTCTCAGTTCAAATCTAAAAGTACGTCAATGTTGATCATGTTCCTGGTGTGTCCAGGCGTCATATTCTTTCTTATGCAACAAGTGCCTCGTCTGGAAATGTGTTCAATCAGGGGGTGTGAAATGTGTTTTTTTTTTTTTTTTACACCTTTAAGCAAACCCCAAACCACGGCCCAGCAACAATGACAGGCCCCGCTGCTGCCTTCGTGGAGAAGAATGCAGCATTAATAGATTTCAGCATGTCGAGAGTCGATGGGGCTACAGCGGTACCAGTGACAGAATCAGGTGAGATGACAACACGGTCAATCTAATAAATGCGAGCTTGACCAGTTAATAGACAACTGCTTCTATCAATGTCTCTTTAGATTCAACGTCAGTAGACGAATATCCATTGTGGGCTTTGGTCTGTACGGTTCCATCCATGGACACACGGACTATCAGGTCAACATACAGGTAACGCTGCCGTGTTTTTAATGCGTGGTGTCATTGGCATGACACGTGATGCAATGTGTTGGCAGTTTGGAGTCTGGGCGCTAGAATTTTTAGTATGAAATGCATGCATTACACAGTGCCCGAAATAAACCGCAACGGACACACTTCACCTTTGATAAACATAACTTCCAGTCGTAAAATCGCCTTCCTGACAATGTAGTAAAATGTCAACTGCGTTCTCGCTGAGTGAGTTAATGCTTATTAAATGTCATATTTATTCCCATCTGTCGCCTTCGTTATTTCCGCTTTAGTTTGACAATGGTTCATACACAATGTACAATTTTAATGTTCTGAAGGACATATTTCTACAAACACGTGGAGACTCACTCAAATAGCTGTTTAGTAGCAGCACACTTCGTTTTGCCTCATTTGATTCAAGACATGAATTCTTAATATATTCATATGGCCATCCCTTTAAGATGAGGTGAAAACACATCATTTCACTTCACAATTTATTTTCAATTCTTATGGAATGTTTAAAATTGGGAATATTTCCCAAATTCCCCCGCTTAATTTGCCATGGAAATTTAACCCTAATCAACAACCAACCAGCAATTTGATTCAAAATATCAAACCTGTTACTTTGCAGCACTGTTGGAACACTTCACAATGTTTTACAGTGAACCCCTGCATATTCGCAGTTTGACATTTTCACAGTTCCCTCTTCACCCTTTTTTTTTTTAAATTTGTCATCCGTTATTCGCTGAAAAAAACTGAGCTTGTTGCTGTTTTTTTTTTTTGGTAGATAATGGAGAGCGACAAACACCTCACTGTGGGACAGAACGACACAGGATTCAGTTGTGACGGCACATCGAACACCTTCAGAGTAATGTTCACAGAGCCTGTGGAAATCCTTCCTAATATCAGCTATACCGCATGCGCCACCTTAAAGGTGAGACGCCTTTCCAACATCAACTTTCAACTGCCAATCAACCAGTGAAGATTCATCATGTTTGATCATTTTTTATTTAGGGACCTGACTCCCACTATGGCACGAAGGGGTTGAAGAAAGTCACCCAGGAGTCAGCAACAGGGACGAAGACAACATTTGTCTTTTTCAAATCCCCCGGAAACAATAACGGTACCTCGGTGGAGGACGGACAGATACCAGAAATTATTTACTATACATAGATTGACGTAGGAAGACTTCGCATCGCTTGAATCGTTTTGTGCTTCGTAATCCCAGGGAATGAACACTGAGTGGCAGCTTGTTTATAGCGAAATGCACAGACACAAAGATTGTTCCATGCGACAGAGGTTAAAAAAAAAATCAATGCCACTTCCTGCTTCAATGTTATTAGATGTAAATATGTAAATGATGAGAAAAAGCAAATGTTCTCCTTCTAATAAAGACTGCAGACTTAGCTGGAGGCAAACAAGCGAATGTTGTCCCCCACAAGCTGCTAGTGCTCTTGTTAGTCTTGAATGACTCAAGCTTCAGAGTCAGCCACCAGTTGTCAACAACACCACACTTTCAGTTGTTCTGAAAAGCCGTTTGAGTATTTATTTGATATTCCTTGATATCCAGCTCAGGGTTGAAGTACTAGTTCGGTCTTTGTCCCCAATAGTAGGAATCGGCGAGTACCAATACCAGGTATCGGTATCGGGCCGATATAGGCCTTATTTTTTTGTTGTTAAACTTTTTATGGAATTTTTTAAACAGTTTGAAAAAAGAAAAATATAGGCCTTATTTTAAGGTATTGGGTTCTTTTGGAGTCTGCCAATATCAGTCACCCCCCCCCCCCAAAAATAGTATATGTAACATATGTTAACTGTTTTGTAAAACGCTTTGTTACTGCTGTAGCTGTTGTGAAAGCGCTATATAAATCAGGGTGTATTGTATTGTTTAAAATTCGGCTAGTTAACATCTAGTGCTTCACAAGTAGTACCAGTCGCAGAGCTGTAAACAAGTGTATAGTTTTTCCTCACTAGTATGAGTTGCCCGGGTGTGCGGAGATGTCATACAATAGTTACTTGTACTGAATTGGCGTATTAGTGACAATAAAGGGCGTACTAGTACATTGACCTTAAAGGGTGCCTGTGGTTGTCAGATGAAAAAATCAACATGGTTCATCAAGGAAAAGTGAATCCAAACACATTTCGGTTATACTGGTAGTATAAAGCAAGCTCATAATCGCTCGCGGGACATTTCTGTCCAAGACGCCGTGGCAGCTAACGCGTGCAGACATACAAACCAATTCCAATGAAGATGACACGTAAATATAAATAAAAACAGTACAATGATTTGCAAATCATCTTCAACCTATATTTAATTGAATAGACTACAAAAACAAGATGTTCAAACTGACTCGGTTCATTGTTTTGCCAAAGAATCCTTAACTTTGAATTTTATGCCTGCAAAACGTTCCAAAAAAGCTAGGACATTATATTGTTTACCAGTGTGTTACATCACCTTTTAACAATGTTCAAAAAAACGTTTTGGAACTGAGGACACTCATTGTTGAAGCTTTGTAGGTGGAATTCTTTCCTATTTTTGCTTGATGTACAGCTTCAGCTGTTCAACTGTCTCCGTTGACGTATTTTACGCTTCATAATGCGCCACAAATTTTCAATGGAACGTGTCTGGACTGCAGGCAGGCCAGCCTAATACCTGCACTCCTTTACCTGCCCTCTTTTACTTCGTTGCCACGCTGTTGTAACACATGCATAATGTTGTTTGGCATTATCTTGCCAAAACAAACTAGAATGGCAGCATATGTGTCTCCAAAACTTGTAGGTACCTCTCAGCATGAGAATGGTTTCTCATGCCATTGGCACTAACAAAGCCCCATACCTTCACAGATGCTGGCTTTTGAACTTTGCCATAACAGCCCATATGGTTCTTTCCCTCTTTGGCCTGGAGGACACGACGTCCACAATTTCCGAAAACAATTTGAAATATGAACTCATCCGACCATGGAACACTTTTCCACTTTGCATCAGTCCATCTTGGATGGGCTTGGGCCCAGAGAAGTCTGGGACTTGATAAATGACTGCTGATTTGCACAGTAGAGTTTTAAGTTGCACTTACGGATGTAGTGCCAAACTATATTGACTTTGATTTTCTGATGTGGTCCCTGATCCTGGGTGGTGATAATCCTTTACACATTGACATTGGAGTTTGATGCAGTGCCGCCTGAGGGATCGAAGGCCACGGACGTTCAATGTTGGTTTTCGGCCTTGTCTCTTGCATCCCTAAATTCCTTGCAATTGTACGTTGAGGAATATTGCCCTGAAACCGCTTCATGATTTTCCTCACGCAGTTGTTCACAAAGAGGTAAACTTCACCCTAACTTGTGAATGACTGAGCAATTCTGCTCCTTTTATATTTAATCATGGCACACCGCTGTTCCCAAATAGCCTCTTCACCTGTGGGATGTTCCAAACAGCTCCAGTATTTGATGAGCGTTCCTCAACTTCCTCAGTCTTTTTAGCCACCTGTCCCAGGTTTTTGCAACATGTTGCAGCCTTAAAATTCAAAGTTAATGATTGTATGCTGAAAACAATGGTTATCAGTTTGAATATTAAATATCTTGTCTTTGTAGTGCATTTAATTAAATATAGGTTGAACATCAATTGCAAATGTATTCTGCTTTTATTTATGTTTAACAGAATGTCCCAACGTCATTGCAATTGGATTGGTACTTGCTCCCCCTTGGTCTGCAGGAAGCAAAGTCGTGACGTAGTATCGTTGAAAGGTGAGGCTTGATCAATATTGATATTAATAGAATATTGCCGTTTGGCAGTACCTGTGCGCTATCATGGTGGAATGCAAAGCATGTGGACATCTCAATAACAAGTGAAAAATTAAGCATAAGCATTGGGGCCAAACACGAATTAGAGGTGACTCAAATTGGACAGTGGAGAAAATAACACCAATTGAGCAGTTCCTGAATCGAGTTATACACACACACACACACACACACACACAGATAAAGCACTCAAAAAAAGTGTACCTCATTTACTATCATGATAAAATTGGAGGTTACATTTTTTTGGACTGTATGCCATGTTTTTCAGTAAAAGTACAATTACGGTAGTAATCCATTTGTGTGGATTCAGGGGTTAAATGGTTAACAAATGGCGATTGAGGTATGACTCCAGCCCGTAAGGACTTTATATGACAACAATAACGATCTGGCGTATCCCTCAATAGCAACTGGTGGGTGTCAAGGCCGTTCCAAGCATGGCGCCTTGCGTTAAAATAAGCCAAGGGTATTGCAGCCATGCTGTTTTGGCGAATACAAGACTAGACACAAAGATGGCAACACCAGATATGTATCAAACTTGACAAGATTGCTCCGTTTCCCCATCAATACCTTGAATGGGGCCGTTAAAGATACCCTGTAAGCTGGATGTCAAGGATTCTGAAGAAATGCTAAAACAGCTTTCCATATATCTTTGCTGAGTACTTTGCAAAAGGATACAATATATGCAAATGTACTTAAGTCTGTAAGTATATGTACATGCTACGTACTGCTTCCATCAACTCAGCGTGTTTTGTGTAACTTTGTTACTGTTACCTGCTGTAATTCATACATGTTTGCTTGGCACTTCTTTGAAATTAAAAGAACAGCTTCATTTTGTATTACAGACTTGAAAGAATTTGTTTACTGTAGCTCCCAATGAGATGGCTTTTGATGTTAGCCCGTCTCTTTTTTTCTTTCCTTTTCTCTCTTTCTTTTAATCATACAGACACGGCCATCTATCCATTGGCAAGACCCAGTGTACTGCTTCTATTTTGAAAGTTGCGCTTTTATTTGCATACATGTAGACTTGTGCCTGCAGTGTTGCCAACCTAACTGACGTGTTTGCTATATTTAGCGCCTTTTTTGTCCCATCTCGCAACTATTTTTCAAAAAAAAAAAAAAAAAAAAGACAAGCAAAAATGACGACAGTGGTCCTACATTAGCAAAATTCTTATTTTCTGTATGGTGGAGGGAAGAGGGCCAAGATGATTTATCCTGGGTGCATTTAATGTCATCACTGTATCATTATTAATCAATGTCAACTGAGACCTTTGGAGGAGCAGTTGCTCAAAGTTAGGAGTGGGCCACATTGAACTTTAAATAACTATTGTCAAAACAATAGAAAGATAACGTGTCTATAAAATGCGAATTTGTGGCCATTCAATACAAATGTATGAGCTTCCGACTGAACAACTGGATAAGCAAATCGAGAGCCTTTTATGGAAATGCTAAGTTTAGGGTAGAGGCCTGCCGTACGATAATAGACGGTGGTTGGTACAGTACTGTAGTCACATTGAATTTTCTTTTAGGCTGGGAATAAGCTTCAAAAACCTTCTCAAAAACCTTAAAGTACATTGTAGGCTATTGAGTACAGAATACTAATTAATTGACACTTGCATTTAAGGCAGTGCTTCTGTAATTTCCGTTAACCCCCCCCAGGAAGAAGAAAATATTTTGTGCCCACAACCTCTCCATAAGAATCTAAGCATCTAAATTACAGTACTGTCTAAGAATCTAAATGACTTTCAGGTTACCTGAAATTGATATTTTTTTTAATTTATCAAAGCCTCAATGACTGATGATTATTTTGATTTGTTTACATTCATCCAGTGTTTTGTGTCAGCGTGGAGGCTTTCCTGATCCATTTAAGCATTCATTTTTAATCAGCGGCACTCAGTTCTGCTCAATTTGTCATGCCCCCCCCTCCCCCATTGAATGTACTGTACAGGATGTACAAAATGTTCTAGGTGTGATATGTATTTCTTTCCAGTCGACTTCACGGCAACATTAAGGTGCAGGGGCATGTTGTGCGTGTGTCCAGCTGGTGGGAGTTATGTATGCTGTATTTTAATGATACATGACTGACTATTAATTAATTAACGTATGAACATACTGTATATAGAAATGTGTGATTAACAGCAGGAGTGGCCCTGGAGCTGGTGAATCACGTGTAAAGCATTCTCACCGATTGAGTTTATTGGCCAAAACACGGATTAGCTTCCTTTGATTGCCATTTCCACTGGGTAAATTATACCCTTTTTTGCGGTATGATTTTGTTAATTTTGTCTGTCTTCCTTGTAATTGTTTAATCATTTTGTTTTATCAGTGATATCTTATAAATGGATATTGTGAGCGTGAATGGTTCTTCGTCTGTGGGGCATCTTACCCCATGGCCTGGTGAAGGCTCCCACAACAACTCCCCTAGAGGAAGAAGATGTCCCCTACAACACGAAGTCATACTTTTCCAGTTTCACATATTTTTTTGGGTGGGTGGGGGGGAGTATTTGGTGTCCTCTGCAAGAATCCCGTTAATATTTAAAAACACGTTTATGTAGGCATATCCTTAAAACACACACACAAACAGACAGAGGCTTATTTTGTAGTTTCAAAATATTCAACTTACTTCAATAACAATTCTTCGGATTTCAAGTTTAACAAGGCCGCTATGGTACAGGGAAAGACCTGAGATTAAAATTGGCTCCATCTAGTGATCAGGAAGGGAATTATGGACGGGGGCATCTCACCCACCTCGACCCTACTGTTGAGTAAGAAGGACAAATCAAATGATATGATGGTTTCTTTCCCTCTTTTCTGAAAACCCCAAAAAGTATGAAATGCTGACATTTCCGGAATGACCAATATAGCGTGAGTATTCTGCATGCCCCCCCGCCCCAAGATATAATCAGAATAACAAGCAGAGAGCACTGTCTTTACACGGATGACCTGAGCGTCTGCATGATTAATTTACAGTGCAGTCGAACGAGCAAAGCAATAAAAGTCTTCTTTCTTCTTTAGTCCGAGAGTATGCACGAGTGTAAAGCCTTACGATTGACTGCACTTCTATTCACTGCTATACATCTATAGGAAGCTGGGGGGGGGGTGTTTATTTCAGTGGAGAGTGCAGAGCAAAACTACTTTGCTATTCACACGTGTCACATGCTGCGTGAACGCTGCACTGGCCTGGACCAACCTTAACCCCCCACTGCACTTTCCAACACCAGATGTAGGTCACAGAGTGCTGCAGGGGCTGCATGCGGGGTGTGTGTGTTTTGCGTGTGTGACTTTAGACGTGGGTCGGGGAGAGACCGATGATTGTAGTCTCCACCAAGGACATGGCCCCCAGCACACTGTCTCCACGGCTGTCACTTTGCATCATCCCCAACAGGCCACACAAAGTCTGACAGGCTGCCAGACAGGCCGAGGGGATTGTCGTGGCTCCTTTTGCTACTACCGCTGCTCTCTCGACTGTTTTTCCTCGCTCGCCACCTCGCATAATGCATGAATGACGTACTAATTAAAATGTCATGGACATTGAATGGGGTCACAAGTTATACCTTTCTAACAAGTAGGAAGGCGTGTCACAGTATCTGACGTGAGAAAGGCTAAACAGCCAGTCGGTGTTCTTAGAACAGCAAAATATTTAGCAAATACATCTTGAGTCACTGTCAATCTTTAGATCATTCCAAACTAAGGTATGCCCATTGAGATGACTTGACGTCAGCAAATATGGACATGCTGTACCGCATCAAAAAAAGGGTGCGACCAAATCCTGTCCTGGTGTGACCAAGTGAAAAAGTTGGTAGCACCAGTGCTAACAGTGCAAAAGTTGGTGTAGAGCGGTAGGAAAAAATAAGTTGCACAAAATAGTGAGAGTCCATGAGGAGAAATGGGGCGACAAGCGGTTGAATAAATGAGTGAAGTGCAACTTTATTTTTTTTTGGTTGGTTTGTTTTTATGAAGCTGACCTCCAAAATGGGAGCGATATGGGAGTGAGAGTCACGCTGAATGTGAGCAAACAGGTTGGGAATCGTTTTCATTGTGACTGTATGGGGCAGAATTCCCCCCCACCCCCACAAACTATGCTTCAGGACCAGGATGAAATTTGTTCTCTGGGAGTGGGATGGGACAGGAGTGAAAACACCCTCCTGTATCATACTTGAGTTCCCTGTCAAATGTGTTGGAGCGGACATTCTGGAAGTGACTCAAACATTTTTCTCTTCCGCACAACAGAGGCTTTAAGTCTCATGCCTTTGGAAGGTAAAATATTAAAATGCACGTTTTGATTCGCTGAATTACTTCCTGTCTCTGTTGGTGACGAGTGGGTGGCAGCACAGCTGCGGACTTGTCCTGGTGGCTTGGAGTTTGTCTGAAAGTGCCACTCACAACTAGTCATTGTAATGGTAGCAATCGTAAGTTTGATTTAGAACCATTTGTTTTTATTTGATATATTTTGATAGATGCTGGTGAGATGAACTGCGCACACATCACCACCTTCATGTTTCACCGAATCATGCTTCTTTGGTGGTTGCACATGAACTACCGGGTTAGGCATAGTGGGTGTGCCAGAAGTCTGGACGGGCAAAATCGACGATACTTGGAAGTGTGCAAGCCCGGCCTGTTTAAAAAAGAAAAAAAAAAAAAGATTTGCCTCGCACCAAACGAAGCAAAAAAACAAAAACAATGGTTTGTAATTTCAAAAACTTCTCTGGTAAATCAGGGTACCACTTTATTGAAAATGGTACATCGTGAGCAGCTTCGACAAGCTTGAAAACGAGCACAAAGCCATATGCTTCATTTCATTTGAAGTCGTGTTTGATTACGGTTAAAACAGTTCACTTACAATCTTCACTAAAATGCCTAATTACATCATGTATTTACCAACTTGCATACAATAATAACAGGCAAGATAAATCTCCCCACCCCCCTTCAAGCGGCGTATTTGTGAAAGTATTCCTGTTTTTTATGGGTCAAATTTACATTTATACCATAAACTCATGACGAAAACAAACATTTCTGTCACTGTATGAGACTGGCAAGACGTCATAAAACAAACTAACAGATACAACATTGCTATTTATACAAATGATGAAATCCTCATAACAGAGATCAGTATCTGTCATAACTCATCGGCCGATGATAATGCGAGTAGTTTTCCTGATGGGAGTTTGACTGAGACCCACGATCATAGCCCCCGTACTGGTCTTTGTCTTGCTGATGCCTGTAATGCTCTCCTCTACCAGGGCGGTTCCCCCCCCAGCCGCGACCTCCTTGATGGTCCTGGTACCTGCAGGTAGGCAAAGAAATCAACAACTGATCTTGTTTAAAAACAAAAAAAAAATTCTGGTCAGGAATGCAATAACCACAATCTTAAACAATAATAACGTGCTTATTTTAATTAGACTTTTTTAAATTAACGGTAAAAATTAAAAATCACAGTTTGTAATGATTATCATATCACATTAATTTTTCTTGTCTTTTTACAGTGTTGTTTAGACTTACAAGTTTAACTGCTATGACCATGCTTGGAACTCAAAACAGTTCTCTCTCAATCATTGATACACACTGAAATGAATGGAAATGTTATTAATCCGTTCCAGCGCCACCCCAAAAATACTAAATAGCACTCGACTGTATTGTAGTACATGTATTACCATTTTAAGGAATGCAGTTAAGTCCAAGGAATTACTGTCAACCAGAAAATTCGACATTTTTACACCTCAGATTACGACCGAAAACCGGTTTTCGACCAAACTGAGCAAACCCGAATACGCCACTTGACTCCTCTTGGCTTCCTTACACGAGAAAGTGACGCTTCAACGTGTAGCGTTCATTGTGATCAGACGTGTTTGTTGTGAGTTACGCAAATCTGACTGTTGTTGATGTTATTTCTGCAAAGTGTATTAGCCCCTAATCATGGGCGAATAAAATAGTTTCGGGTTTCGAACAAATCGCTTTTCGAACAGCCTTCTGGAACGGATTATGGTCGAAAACTGAGGTATGACTGTACTTTGAAAATACATACAACAGTGCTTCAAGTAACATTAAAGTATGCCTGGCAAAGTATCCATAAGATAATACACATAAAGTATAGATATGATAAAAATCCAGGATATGAACTGTATACTGCTATGTCATGATGGACATTTTACACCATATCTATGAAATATATTATTGTTCCCAACTCTACCTTCTGTCTCTTGCTTGATAGTTTCCTCCGCCACGACCTCTCCACTCCTCCACGATAGGAGGAGGATCAGCTGGCCTGTTCACATACCGCTGGTACTCTTCATCCTCGGAGGAATATCTTTGAGCGAACATTTCCTCGTAACTTTGTTCTTCTTCCATGGTTTCACTCATTCTGGAATGAAGGAGATGTAAAATTACCAATACAGTGATAATTACCAATACAGTGGTACCTTGACTGATAAGTTTAATTTGTTCAGTGACCATGCTTGGAACTCAAAATACTCATTTCTCTAGTCATCGTTACACACTGAAATGAATGGAAATATAAAACGATCATCATCATTCTCTTCTTCCTATCCGAGGTTGAGTTACAAGGGCAGGAACTTAAGCCCAGACTTCCTTCTCTCAATCGGGAGGGTGTCCTTGGTCGACCTCGAGGCCTCCTCCCAGTGGGACATACCCGGAACACCTCACCAGGAAGACGTCCAACGGGCATCCTGACATGCTACCGTATTTTTTAAGTTTTACCATGTCTGTGTCTAAAAATACAATGTGTCTTGTGTATGTGTTAAATACAGAAATAGCACCCGTAACTGATACGATGCCTTTTAATACGGCGCACCATATGGTCGTGAAAATACAGTATATCGATAGGTTGCACAACTCTACCTTCTGTCTCCTCCTTGATGGTTGCCTCCTCCGTGACCTCTGCAGTCCTCCGTGATTGGAGGAAGATCAGCCGGCCTGTTCACATCCTGCTGGTGCTCTTGGTCCTCGGAGGAAAACATGTGCGTGAACACCTCCTCTGAACTTTTCTGTTTTTTCGTAGTTTCACACATTCTGAAATGAATGAGACTCTGGTTAACATGTGGAAAATAGCAACTATTATATGTATGTTCAGTTACATGCAAAAGTATTTGCCCCATCTAAAATTCTTTTTTTTTTTTTTGCATAGTTCCTCACTTTAATGCTTCACTTCAAGTAACATGTCAATGTCCTACTTGTATGTCAAAGTTGACCTGACTACTAGTGAGTCCATGTAGTGGCACATGTACCTTTAGTTGATTATCAAGGATATCAAATAAATGCTTAACTGGCTTTCTATAAAGATAAACTAAATGCTCCGTTTTTATTCCAAAGAAAATTAAGCACACTAGTGGGGCGACTCACACGGTTACACAAGTAAAACAAAGGAGTGACTTCATTTCAATTGTTTTTTTTTTGGTTTCTGTATTAAACATTTCGACTCAGTAGCTGGACAAATGTGGCAGACTAGTAGGCGCTACTTGGTGCAGAAAGCTACTAGCGCGTGACTCATCCCTACAAGTTGGACCTAATATCTGTTCCTAGTTTAGCACGGTAGTTTACTATACAGTAATGTATTATTGCGTACTAGTAAGCCAAAGTGGCACGAGTTGTGGGGGCGGGGGGACTAGTAAGACTGTCGTTATATTGAACCCTTTTCTTTTTCAAAGTGCAGTGAATTGTTTATTTACATGGTAACCGAAAAAGAGCATAGGCTACTAGTAAATGGACCTTTATGAATATCAAGGACATGGATTAAATGCTGAAAAGGCGTCCCTGTTGTTTACGTTTGTTACATTAGGCCTCCTCGGCTGTGTGGGGCACTATAGAAAGCGTCAACAACTCGCGTGCATAATAATAACAAGACATGACTCGATGCAAGTTGGTATTCACAAAACCTGGAAACAACAAAGCAGGAAGGAACAACCAAGTACATCTTCTGAAAACATACCTGAGCATACCACGAAAATACACAACGAATTCCAACGAACAATAAAGTTCAGTGTACAAATAGAAAGACGCTGAAATTGTTCCCCTTAGAAACAACGAAACAGATAAAAAGGTTCCGGCCAGGGAGCACTCGCACGTGCATTTGATGGATGGCGATCACATGCCACTTAGGGATGAAAATATACATACGTTTACATATACACGAAAGTTAACGTCGGATTGGTTATTATTTCCAAAGCAAAATATATTGAAATACACTGAGTGCCCATGGGTGGTACATTTATTCTCGATAGATTTACAATTAAATAGTTAAGTGTTATATTTGTGGAAAGCGACACGAAGTCCTTGGAAACAATGTAAGTGCACGAGCGAAGCAAACTGTAATCTGTAACGTGTTAAAGATTTGTGTTTTTGACCAACAAATGTCCCTTACTTCCTTGTATCAGATTATTCAGTGGGGGAGTGGTAGCAAAAACATACAGTACACTCTGTATATGTAGATTCTTGTGTTTAAAAAAATAATTAAAAAAGATATATATATA